CCACCCACCCCTTTATGTGGCCAGGTCTCAAAAAAACACACCAGGTCTGTCTTCTAATGCATGCTTAAATCCCTGTTCCTTTTTACATGCCATTGATTGTCTCAGGCCAGCCTTTCTGTTATATTATTTTTACATACTTTCTGTTTTTTATCATCAGCATCTTATCACATCAAGGACTCTAAATGAGGGACTAATTAAGTAAATGCAGTGAACTTTCTGCTCTTTTCCACACCCTCTGGGATAAACTGGCCTTATGGCTGGATATGAACCTTTACAATTCAATGAAGAGAATATTTCCCCTGATTAATTTTCATGCTTGTAATATTAATGGTTGAAAGGAGTCAGACTCAAGAGTAGACCTGAATTTGTGTAGCTCTACTTCTAGTCCAAAAGAGTGACACACACCTCTTCCTGCTTTGACCTGGTTCTGTAATCAGCAATTTTGTGCTATACCTGTAGCAGATTTTTCTTTGAGTGGGCTATTTATTTATCTATTTGTTTGTCTTTCTGTCACTTTGCTTATTCATTTTGATGCTCTGGAACAAAAGATTGTGGCACATACTCAATGATCTGAACTTCAGGATAAAAATAAATTGCCTCAATGACATATTTCTCTCAGAAAAGAGTTTCCACTGATTCAAAGTATGCACTTTAAATGAAGGGATGCAGAAAGGAGCAAGGTTACAACATAAGCTTGTTTCTGTTATGCGGAAAGATGGAGTATAAAGGTAATAGGACAAAAAGAACTAGTTTTCTAGATAAGCTATTCATTCATCCAATGCTTTTCACAAATAGCTAAAACTTAAGTTGAAGGGGCAGAAGTTGAATGGGCAGACAGGAACAGCATATTTCTCATATTGCTCAGTTGATCAGGAAGAGGAAAGAAGACAAATACTATATCAGAGTTCACCTGCACTCAGGCTTTAGGCTAAATCTCATTTTGTCTTGATCCTTATTGTCCAAGAATTAATGCTGGAATAGCATGCCCTATTTGTGGACACATTCTCCTGTCAAAACTTGGTGCTTGCTGTTCTGTAACAAATGTAGGAATGAAAATAAATATGCTTAGCACTAGTTGTGGGTAGCTTTTATTAACTTCTAATTTCCAAGCAAAATATAGAACAAGAGGAAGTGAAATGTTTCCAAGAACAAGAATTTTGAACATAACATGGCCCAAACTAGTTATTTTGAACATAGGGTTACAGTGGAAAATGGTAGACCTGTTTAATATTTCCTTTCCTCCATATATGCTAAAAACACATAACGCGTCTTTCTTTACTCCCACTAATTACAACTATCAATTCTAGTCAGCATCGTCACTGGCCAAAGATAATAGGAATTGATGTTCAGTGTCATCTGGTGGGGGAGTCCTAGCTCCACTGAAAAGAAATATCACATAATGGCTTGTGTGTCTATACTGCTCACTTGGTCTGGATTAAATGATGTTGCCTGAATACTCCATCACAGGAGTCAAAATCCCATGGCTGATTCACAGTGCATTCATATTTGGATATGTACAGTAAAAGAGGATTCTGCTACCTTCTTTGCAGTCATCTTTCGATATTTTGTCCAAAGCTGCTCATTTTTTCTCCACTTCTGTCCTTTTTAGCCTTCTCACAATTAGTGTAAAGGTCTGTAGCAGGGAGCCATTTCTGCCCATGTAGGAAATCACTTCAGTATTGTCAGGAAGCTGCCAAGGTGTAACATTCTCCTGCTATAGATGTTAATTCTAAACATAAAGATGGCAATGAAAGTAGAGATGGGGAAACAGAAATAGCATATTTATCCTTTCTTTCCTTCTTGCACATTCAGTGAAGTCTTTGAAATAATGACTAAATAAGGTTAAACACTATTATCAAACATTATTAACTCCATCCATCCATCCATCCATCCATCCATCCATCCATCCATCCATTAAATTGGATTGGACATAAGCCCTATGAATGGCTAATGAATTGTTCTAAGATAACTTAGACATGATGACTTCCAGTGATTATAAAAAATTTCGGTACAGAACGTACTGTTAGAAGATTTAGATGTCTCCTTCCTAGCAGATCCATGGCGAGATCAGAGTCTGGCACCATGTGTCTTTTCTTAATGAATATCCATGATTGCAATGTATGGAGTGTATGGAGTTCTGTTTATTTTTTAATGTGAGTGAGGTGATCAAGGAAGCTGTTATTTCTTCCAAGAAATTTTAAAAAATCCCAGAGTGTTTACAACAGTACCAACAGAGGCAAATAGGTGCACTGAAGATGTTACCTAGCTGGGTAATGAAACGTTTGCAAGAAAAGAACCAAGCTCAGAGAACCCCAAGGACTCCACTGTTTACAACAGTGTTAGACTCTTTGCGTTCTAGATGTTTCTTTACTAGCACTTGATATTGCTTGGTCTGCTCATCCCTCACAACTACCCACTATTTATGAATTTACTTTTTTAGGGTAGAGAATGCTCTCTGAAAGATATCTATAGAAATATTCTGCCATGAATATCCCTTTGATTCACATGAAGTACATCAACACAGCTATGTGGAGTATACCATACAATATATGGGCTGTGAACTACTATTAGAGAGTCTGAAAATTCTCTGTGATGATGTTTAAAAGTATGGAAAGGAAATTGATAAAGCTATCTCATGCATCAATAGAATTATCTTCCACTTGTTCAGAGCTGTTTAGGTCCCTAGTAAGATTATCATTTGTTTTACAATAACAAGCCTTTCCATACTTTTTTTTTCTTTTGACATATTAAAAAATTTGATCTTTGTAAAAAGTTGCTTTTCATATTATAAATGCTTATGTGGTATAATTAACACATTTTGAAAAATGATGTTTATTCTCTTGTAAGAGATGAGGTGGGGTAGCTCTGATTATTCACTCACATTGAAAAAAATGAATCCAGAAAGTTGTAAAGCTCATTTCAATTCAGAAATGTGTGTAATGCTTACAGACAGAATATTTTGTAACTTGACTACAGAACTATAACTTGTCCAATAACAGGCTCTGCTCATTTATCCATTCCAAATTTCATCTAGGTCATTATTACTTATTCAGCCGAAGTACTTAATTCTGTCTTTAATCTAAAAATGGTAAATAAAGTTAAGGGAAATGTAAAGACATCTGTTTTTACAACTATGGAGTATTGAGGGAAGATAGAAAGGGAAGGAACAATAAATCCAAAGTCTTTATCCTGAAACAGAGTATGGTGGATTATATGGAATGACATAGTTTGTGGACCCAACATTTGTATCTGTCTGTCAGTGGAATGGACAGGCAGCAGTGAATGGATTTCATTACCACATATCATTTTTCATTCCAAAATTTGAACCAAAAAGCATATTTCTGGAAAGCTGTGTTCAAAAACATTTTATGTTTGGGGAATCTATGTTTTAAAATGTATTACATTCACTGGTTTGAAAGTGTAGTTTAGAGAAAAATATGTACAGTATATCAGGGAGAGTGGAGCATAAAGTACATCTATTAGGAAGAATTGAGTCCAGATCCAATTAAGGGTGGTGGTGGTGGGGGAGGGAGAGGGAAGTACACCAATGAATGCAGATGTTCCACAATTGGTTTGTTATTCACAACAAATAATAGAATAATATTACGCAGGATTACATTCTTAATAAGCCTTATCTAAATAACCACAAGGTGTGCCTCAGCCACATGTCAGGCTTCTATGACAGTCCCAACAGATGAAGGCATGGAATATACTTAAAAGCAACTATCTCAGCTTGGTGCCTTCCAGCTGGCCAGCAGATGCTTGGAGGATCATGAAAGTTACAATTTAACACCTCCAAAGGCACTGGGTAGGGAAGGCAGACATAAGCTATGCTCCCAATAGAGCACATGACATCTTTAAAACCACAGTATTCGGGAAGGATTCTAAGGATGGCTCAAATACATGTTTACAACATAATCATCTGCATTTTAAATGTTCTTATGTATTAAAGAATATCACCCATATTCATAAGTGAAAACTTTACAATAGATACTCACTGATTTAATTTTCTTTCTTTCTTTCTTTCTTTCTTTCTTTCTTTCTTTCTTTCTTTCTTTCTTTCTTTCTTTCTTTCTTTCTTTCTGCTACAGGAATACTATATTGGAAAAATAGCCAGCATCTGAGTAAGCATTTAAAAGCATTACCAGGATGATTATGCTGTATCCCTTTGTTCTTTTAAACCTAGCCCCATTTCTTATACAGTCGTTGCTACAAAGCATGTTCCATTATCACTGTGATAAAAGGAAGACAGCAAAACACTGGATTTGCTTATATTTGTTGATCAGTTACATCTACACTGAACTTTAATCTCAGCAGTGATTCATCTTTGTAAATCAGTTTGGCAGACTATCAGTCCTTAAATCAATTACACTAAATCAAGAACTATATTTACAGATAAAACACCATGGAGCGCACTTACATAGCAATGACCTTTGAGGTTGGCACAAGTTACTTGCCATTACATGATGTGGTGCCTCCCCATAATATTAAATCTATTATGCTAAGCCTATTACAGTCTCCTACTGAACGTCTAAAGGGAATGCACTGCTGTAGGCGTATCCTTTTGTCTGTATTTGAAGAAGCACAGATAGACAGTGAAGAATGAAATATAATCAAAATGACATCTCTATTTATTGAGGCTCCTTTTTCTAGGTGAAGAGACATTAATGTAACAATATGCCCAAAAAGTTCAATTCTCATCTGCATAACCTAGTGCAATGTAACTGCCAATCTCCATATCATGCCAAGCAAAAGCTAATTCTGAAACAGACCAGAAAATATTAAGCTTATTTAAAATATCAAGAAATGGTTGTATTCCTTAATGATGATACAGTAAAGCCTCTCCATAATACCTGTCCTCCATATCCATCATAGGAGAAAAATATGGATTCTTCCCATGGCACACCGATACATAAACCAGATTAGACTTGTCAAGATCCATTTTCAAAATTTTGCCATGCAGTTCTCAATTTGCAAAATACATACAAAAATAAGTATACTGAGGAAAAGTATGCACAAAGTACATATATTGAAAAATTTACATTAACAAAATTACATTAGGAAAAAATTACTGGCCAAAGTGTGCATACTAGAAAAACGTTTTTATATTTCAGAAGAAATATTTTATATGAATGTTTTGATTTTCCCTTTTACAGTCTAATGAAGAACTAGGCCAAGGCAAATTTATCATCAGGTAAATAAGAAATTATTACAATTGCATGCTTGAATCAACACTGGGTCTAAACACAAAGTCTAAGGTCTGGAGAAATCATCTGTGATTTCAGGTGTGATGTTTTCAGTATATGGACAGCTGTAGTTCTCATTTCCATCACAATCCAGACTTAGGTATTGGCAAAAAGCTACAATGGTGGAAAATGATGACAACTGCATGATGATGTCATGACACAAGCCCCATCCTTAGATATTTGCATCAGAGACTGGAATGCAAATATGCAAGTCCAAGGTCTGTGTTGTGATATCATTTCACCACTTGCCCCTTGCAGATGCCTATGAAACCAGGGTGGCTGTTGAAGTTTCAACAAGTGTCTGAAGAAGAAGAAATATTTCTGATCACCCCATCTTCTAATAGAAGATTTCAGTATGCATATTGGCCAATTAGGTTCTGACTTAAGACTTGGTGATTTCAAAGCCATCTAAATTTCATTTAGAATTATATGAAAGTTTCCCAGTTTGAGTTAAGGCTGAATCTAAGATAAGGTTCATAAATTTAAAACTTCATATCTCCCATGGAAAATTCACAAATAGCAGTAACACTTTAAAACTTCATTAACAAAATGTGATGGAATCTACTTTCATTGCAGAGCCTTCTAAGAGGATGAAGTCTGCCAAATTTCAGAAAACAAAGTACATTTTTTTTGTTAGAAACTTTTCAGAGGGAATGTTTCTGATTTCTGACAGAATCAAATAAAGTTGAGTAGTGTCAAGGCTGTTTAATTTCAGATCAGCAGGAACAGAGTGTTCATTACTTTCTTAATGTTTGGTGGACAATTTCTATGAAAACTAGAGACATCATTTAAGTGCCTTTTGGTTAAGAAGCATGTAAAATGACAAAAGGATAGATGCAGGAGTTTTGCAGTTAAGTATCATTAAAATTGGATTTGGAGTGGAAAGGGATTTGTTTCTCACAACTCCATTTAGGAGAACACAGTAGATGTTCAACAATTAGATAACAAACAGCAACAAGAATAAATGAAATGTACATAGTAGTGGAATAAACAAGGTATGAATGGATGGACCGGAATTAAAAAGAAAAAAAGATTGAAAAGAAAAATGTAAGGAAGGTTTGGAAAAAATTATGATGGATAGGAAAGAAGGCATAGATTCAAGAAGGATTAAAATATATTTCAACAACCTGAAATTTTCATCAACAAAGCAAAGGCAAACTCTTCAGAATGTTACTGCTCAAGTTGAGAAAAGAACTTATAATAAATAAAGCTTAAGATATCCCTTCCCTAAATGTTGTGATTGGAAAGCCTTGATGAGGAGATTGAAGATTGGGAAGCCCTTGATGAGTTTTTGATTAAATGGTTACCTTTTAGTTGCTGAACTCAGTTTTTTCTCAACCATGACAATTTATGGGCCCATGAACATTAAAAGAAGTAGGATTTTTTGTTTTTATTTTTGCAGATGTGGTACTTGCTTTGCTATCATGAAGTCAGGATTACACCCATAAAAGTAAATAAATTTGACTGACAAAGATGAATATTGCATTAGACCTTATTGTTATTCCAATGGTTCACAATCTTTCATTATTTTAGTCTGCCCAATCAATTTATCAGGAACAGAACCTACCATAATAGACATAGGAAGCCCATTTTTAAAAGATTTTTAATTTACAGTTAGTTTTAATTACATACAGTTTCTATGACATATCATATGCTCAGACCATCACTAGGTCCAACCTGAACCCTGACAGTAATCAATGGTTGCAAACCTCTTCTATACACATATTTTAATAATTATATGTAGAAATGGTAGTTTCTTTCATAGTCATGAACTTGTTTTGTGGTTTTAAAACAATTAATGTGAAACTGCATTTTCCTTTTGTCTTTATAACAGAGAGTTCCCTTGTTAATGCTTAATGCTAAATTCAGATACTTCAAAGCAGATGATTGCTGAATTGTGCAGCGATCTCTCTGTGATGCATTCTTCAGATCAAAGCAGTGTGAATTGACGCTTTTGTGCTTTACTCTTTCTCATTTTTCCAAGCTAAAATTAGTTTCATCCCTTTGCTGCATTGATTTGCAATTTTCTTTAAGTCTGCCTGAAAATTTACACACATTTAAGTCTGTATATTTTCCATAATCTCTACGTATTTATATTGTACAAGTTTACATATAACTTCTATAATACAATTGTATACATGCATACCATTTTCAGCAATGGACATATTTGTACATATGTTAACCTAAAATACAATTCTTTGTAAACATTTCTTGTTTTGAAAATTGCATCATATAATGTGGGAAGGTACAAATATCAAAGGATTTTTGAACTCTGTTCATGAATTAGAACTGCAGTTCAAATTGAGTTTAACCCATTATCTAAAATTCTGGCAGAGGAACATTGGGCAAACATTGTAAAATGATATTCTGTTTGCTGTTTGCAATTGCTAAAAAAATTCAGACCTGTTTCCTGAAGAGTCTCTTGCCTATATGACTGATTTGCCAATCTCCTCCTCACCTTTATCTGACGTGCACATCTAACAAGTATATATTGGTGGGTGCTTTGAGTGTCGGGTAGGGGAAAATTGGAGTGATTTTTAAAAAAAAAATTGCAGAGGAAGAGAAAAGAATCACAGATTGTGTACTGAAGAAAGGAGACATGTTTAGGTCATACATTCTGCAAGTGCAAATAGTGGATTAGCACATCTGGATAATTCAGTAAATGGGTATATTCACAATCATGGCTAGTTGTTAATAAATCTTCAAAAACACACTATACAGTGTAAATTAATTATGTCTTCTCTATCCTGCCCAAAATGTAAAATCCCCATCCGTCTAGGTTTCTTTATAAATTTAAGTGTAGAATATTTCTATATTTACAGTAACTAAATATATGTGATTAATTAATAGATATATATTGCATGCCACCTTATAAGGATACTTGTCATTCAGTAGAGATGATGAATTTACAGAACAATCTCTTTCTATAAATGATAAAAGGGGGCACCTCATATTCAACATAAATTCCTGTGCCGACTAAATCAAAATGTTGTGGAATGGGAAGGTAATTCTGCATGCTTTACACATGATGCAAATGAAGAAGTTGCCTTTTAAATATTCTTATTTAATTTTGTGCATTAGGGAGACAGGTAAGGATCTACACATAGTACTAGGGTACCACCATCAAAAGATTGAGCCTTCCACTTGGCATATTTCTGATCATATACCGTCTATGATTTCTTGTATGTAGTTCTGTAAAGTCATCTTTACAAGCCTGACAGGCATAAAGTCTGCTCACTTCTCTTTTCAAAAATAAAGAAAAGTTGAGGTATTTAGTCTGATAATTCTGTGTTCAGAGTGCTAAGATATATGAGGGGTTACAGAGTTCTGTGGGGACTTCAATAACGCTTTGAATGAAACATCCCCTTGAAGCATAACTATAATGTGGCCTCCATCACTTCTAAGCAATGTAATGACTGTGACTTCACTGATCAAAGTGGTTTCTGCACATAGGAATCCATACTGGGAAGCCACTTTCTTCAAGCTAGAGGTACCAGTTGATTGGGTCAGCCTTATCTCAACACTTCATGAGGTAAAACATGTCACCTCCATTGCATAAAGTAGAGCATTCAGAAAGAGTGTGCCTAATGTGGACTACTTATAACCCTGACATTATGGAGTCTTGCTTGGAAGTATAAATAGGCGTATTACCAATAGATACCAAATAATTTATAATGCTTCTAGAAGATACAGAATGACCTCATCCTGCCTTTCATTTAAAAATTCAGCTACTGGAGTGGCTACAGCGAAGAGTCAGTTCCTGCCATATAAGCTCATAGCCTCTCATCTAATTGAGAAGATCATTTAGCACATGGAAGCTGCTTGGAACAGTGTGAAAAGAATTGTTATGGAACACCACCAAAGTATGGCATGTTATGGAAAATACAAAAAAAAAAAAAAATGCTTGCAGGAATGATGAAGTGAAATAGTACAGATGAGAACAAAAATGCATACAAGTGTCAGGTTCAGCCCAAGAAACTCAGTGGGACGATTCTGGAACAGT